GAACTGCAGCCGATGAAAATCGCCGTGATCGTCGTAAAGGGCAAACAGGAAAGCTCAGCCTATGTACGCGCGGGATGGAGGCAAAGGTGGGGCAGGCCAGGACACGGGGTACACCCGGCTGGAGTGGGCTTAAAAATACACACATATCCGGAGTAGTACGTGGATCTATTTTTGATCGGGGCGCACGCCGCGTGTGCACCCTTCGCTCGTGTAAACACCAAGCGGTCCTGGCCCGACAAGGGTAAAAGTCCCTGGAAGCTGAATCCAAAAATCTCGTGTAAACACCGAGAGATAGGGAACGCAAGGATAAGAATGCCGAGAGGATAACGCGAGTAAACTTTCCTGACGTATGAAAAAACTGACGCGGTACAGTCCAAAAAGAAAGATAGGACGCTTTCGGTTCGAAGCACGCTACAGTTTCGGTACCGCTTCGACCCATCGATCAACATTTTCGGCAGGAACAATGGAAACAGATGGAGAAAAAATATCAGAGACGAAAAGGAAGAGAAGAGGAGAGTTTTCGGTCGAAAACCGGTCGAGTTGTAAAGAGCGTTTCAAAAGCACTCCGACGTGGCGTTGCGCGTCTGCCTAAGCAGTCGGAACAGCTCTTTTCTTCGTTCTTGTAAACGAGAGAAAGGCAGATGTAGAGGCAAGTTAACGACCCGTTATCGCATGGATGGCGTGGACTCGCCACTGCTGAAACTGGTTGTCGTCGATCATAGCGATGCAAGCAGAGAAAAAGGCAGCGCAGGGGACACGAAGGGACAATAATACGTGGCAAATCGCAAAACATCCACAAAGCCGAGCATTGGCCGATATACGCCAATCGCCTAAATCTAAATCTAATGAATTACCTATGGGACGAATATGACGAGATCATGGAACCCGAAGGGAAACAACGGACCACGGAGTATGGAGGAGCGACTGGTCTGCTAGTCGGATCAGCATTTTCTCGGCCTTTCTCCACTGGCTGCCATTCCCCGAGCAACAACAATCGCTTCCGTGGAAGCCTTGACTGCGTTTTAAATGCATGGCAGGTAGAGGCCTGCTATGCAAAATCAGCACAAAGCAGAAAGAGAGAGAGAGAGAGAGAGAGAGACAGAGAGAGAGAGAGAGAGAGAAGGGGAGAAATACTGTAGGTAGACAGACACGTCGCCTCTGTTTAAGGCACCCGGCTTGCCAAGAACGTATCTCCTTTCTATCCTTCTCCTTCTCCTTTACCATGGTAACAGCAAACGCTAAATCTGCGAGAGCGGACGAAGCATTCTGTCCGTGTCGATTCTCTCAAGGGACACAAGGCCTGCCTTTTGAAAAAATTCCAATTTCTATGGGTCCTGCCCAGGGACTGAAAAAAGTCCCCCACCGACCGAACAAACGTAGAAGCGGGACAGAAAACGGAATACCACGAGGCCAGGTCGATCGCGAGATTCCAATGGATCGTGCCCAGAGGGAAAGGTCACTGGTAGTCTCGAAATCGTGCGTATGGTCGATCGTTCGGGGGTTAATACCGGCCAAGTGGTGGGAGAAGGAATCAAGATGGCGTAACCGGCCGCTGCTCCCAACGATTCTTCAATCATGCAAATACGAATGTGCGGCTTTTCCGACCGATCGCTAAACGCCGATCGATGCGACGCAGGAGAAACATCGCGATGCATGCGTCGAGAACTGGAAGCGAAACCGTTGGAGCGACTGAAATTGAAAGCCGGCTCCGCACGGCGCTCGCTATATCGATTGATGCTGCCCATTTTCAAAATGGCGCGGGGGTACACACACTCCAAATCCCGCTCGACGCGTGATCTTATATTTCTCGTTTCTTGACAGACACTAAGCGAAAGAAACATGACGACCGATGCGACGGCCGCCCGATCGGAGCATATGCAGTCGACGAACGGAAAAGGCAGAAAGAACGGTGGGCATGTTAAATAGAAGACCGGTGCGGCGGCACGTATTGCGTACACGCGGAGAGACAAAATGTTTAGTGTATGGGGCGCGCACGGCCCGGCATATAACCAACGAAGGCGAGGAAACGACGAGCACTCGGGGTGGTTGGTACTCACCTCCGGTAGTCGAGGGCGACGTAAGTGGCGCGACGAGGCGAAACTTTTCTCGTGAAGGAGCGTCCCTCGCCAGTACTCTGCACAAGAAACACACTGGATATATTATTCCGAGAGGTAGAGGCGAGGTGGCGGCGGCAGTGACGGTGGCGGGCGTGTAGCACGATGCGTGGCGTCTAGACAGACACGAGAGTACGAGAGGTGAAGAGAAGTAGCCGAGCACGATGGCAGAGACACACGAGGAAATGCTTGCTCGGTAGAAGCAAAGGGAAACGGGACACCGAAGTCGCCTACGGTCAGGCACAAACAGCAAGCAGAAGCTTTTAGCAGGAGCGCGTTCGCGAACTCATCCACTTGGCTCGGTAACGCGCGACCGACTGCCGAGAAGCGGAGGGGAAGCGGCGTCCGTCTGTCGGTCCGTCTGTCCGTCCGACCGTCTTTCTGTCACCAACGTATTGCTCGCTCGTTCGCTCTCGCTCGCTAGTAGCTCGCTCTTTCCTTCTTTTTCTCTCTCCCTCAAACGTGTGCGTACGTGTACGTGTACGTGTGTATGCGCGCGCGCGCACGCCTTCACTCTTTCTTTCTTCCTTCCCCCTTTTCCTTTATCCTGTCCTTTCCTTTTCCTTCTCTTTCGTGCTCTTCTGCTTCGAAAATCTCTCCCGACGTTTTCTCGTAGCTCGTGCGCGTACAACACTTCAACTTCTAAACCACAAGCCGGTATTATGCACGTATCATCGGACCAACAACGATACAACACCTTTCCAACCTTCGAAGGTTTCACCTTTCCAACGATTCGAACGGCGAAGAAGTCGTCGATGAACACGATAGACAGGCTTAATCGCGATGCGAAACTCACCCCAGGTACAATAGAAGCGTGACGAGGACGACCAATCGGCAGGCACAGGGCACAGGACGATAATCGCGAACCCCCGGACTACGTGGAGCCGCAGCTAACGATCGATCGTTTCACGTTTCCTCTCTTTGCTCCGATCTCTCGTCGACGATTCGTCTCGGTACCGCCGTTCCTTTGTTCCCGCCGAACGGAGTTTCGGCTGCGTTCGCGTACCTCCTCTCTCTCTTTGTCCCGAGGAAGTCGTGCGTGGGGAGGGCTCGACCAACGCGCACAAACTGGTAAAAATCGCCCAACGAACACCGCGTGTAACGATCTCTTTCTTCTTCGATTCTTCGTCGCGAGTACTTTTGATCCGCGCGAACGCGCGTGCTCAGCTCGTTATGTTCGCGTTTGCTACTCGAGTCCGCGTTAGCGTATACGTTCACTCTCGAACAACCGAGCGCCGCTTCGTTTTACTGCGCTCCGCACTGCTCGACGGTTAGAGAAAGAATGAGCTCCGGGATAGACGGGAGGCAGGAACGTATCGGCTGAGCCCGGCACCCCGGGACTCGGTTCGGATGGTGGCAGCCCTGCCTCGAGCTCGCTAAGAACATCGGGGTATGGGGGGTTCGACTCCAGGGCGGGGTCCTGTTACGGAGGGCTCCCTATCTCCAACCACGGCCAACGTTTCACTCCACAATAGAATTTACACATTTTCAGGGTCAACTCTTTCCCCCGTAGCCAAAGTACTCCCTCGAAAATTCACCGATTCTCGATCGCTCGCTAATCGATGTCATTCAATCGCGATATATGAACTTTTTTCGACGGAGCTTTTCTAACGACCAGATACGCGGACTGAGGTGTTTGGATATGGGCAGTGGTACTCGGTGAACGACCTACCGTAACGCGTTTCGACCGAATTTAACAAGTGGGAGGAAATCGATTCGCGAAAGTCAAGCGACAACCGAAGAATCGCGAATTCGTACGATTAAACGAATGGCACGTCGCTCACAGTATACTATACCACGCGATCCTTCTTATCGTCTTCCTTTTTTTTCTTTTTTCCCCAAAGCAATTAGAGTCGTAAGTCGTAAGATTATCCGTAGAGGTGCCGCTGTCTCATAATCTCCAGCGATTGTAGCGCATTCTACCTGGAAATCGTTGGTTGTTTATAGACAACTACGGTGGTCGTTCGAGCGAAACAAAATACGCGTATACCTGCTGCCGCTGCTCTCGCCTACAACTACGACTACGACTACGAAGCCGCCTTTCGCCTGTCGTCGCAGTGACTAATGCGAAAAGCGGCACCAGAGGAACGCTCTCGACACCGACATCGACCACTCTCGACCCGAGCCCAACAAGTTAGATAACAATTCGCCGCGTCCGGAATTTAGGAATTCCGACTAGACACCGGCAGACCAAACGTTCAACTCTCTCTCTCTGGTCCTTCAGAGACTTCGATGCGTCGCGACCCGTCGCTTTTCCACAACGAGCACGTAAAGTCCCTGCCCCCGCGGTTCCTCGACGCAGCTATGTCGTCGCATCGATTTCCGAACGACGCGACCACCCATACCGTCTGGCGAACTTTGAAATCACGCGGATATTTATCGATTTCCCCGTACGCCGCGACGTGCCAGCTACGCGAAACCGACCACGGTCCGAAGAAAAGCTAATCCCTGCGCGGTATGCGTAAGCTCCGATCCGTCTCAATTCGCGACAATCTATGCCTCCGTGTTTCGTTCAGCGGATATCGGTTATCGATGACCAGTCCTCCGGGCTCTAGGTATCGAATTCTTCAGTGTGCATACTACTGTATACGCTCATTAACTCGATGCAACCGAGCATTCCGTGTCGAGGACACTTTTGTACACGTCAAACAATAACCGGATAAACGCTTTCTTTTCCACGAAGGAGAACCTAATTGTCCATTTCGATCCTTCCGACCTCGAGCTGCCGATAAATACGGGGCCGAAATATTCGAGCAACGATCCACGACAGAGATGGTGGCAAAACGCGCGATAAGGAACGAGAAAAGATATACGTAATTTGTCGAACGGTTCTAGAACCGACCGCGAGGTTACTCACTCGAAACGAGGAAACCGTAACGCTACGAATTGCTCGTAACGATGCCGGTCCGATCGGAGCGTTGCTGCTGTTGCCGCGAGTTAATAGGCAGAAGCGATCACGCTATAGACAAGGTAATATCGCGCGGAAGGTATTCGCGTTGAAACCACTCCGAATGACATAACGGGTAGCGCGGAGATATTCGGCTATACATATATTCTCAGACCGGAATATAATGGCTTTCCTCGAATTAATGGAAATCGATTTTAGGAGCGCGCACGGTTGCCCGAATGCAGCTTCCTATTAGAGCGCAATCTGACGTGCGCGGGGCACGCCAACAAATAATTAAAATCTATCTTCCGGTATCGGCCGATTCTACGCTTTTCGTTAATCGAACAACCCAGTGGTACCGACGATGTCATCGCCGAATAATAAATTCGATTAACGACACGACCCGAATAATCCCACTTGTCCGAATACTCTACTTAGCGTTTATTATCTCTTCGATCGGATGAATTACCTTTCTTTTTCTCTTCTCAACATTGGCCCGTTCGTCTCATAGAACGAATAAAGAACGCAACGATCTGTCACGACATCACCGCCGCTGATAATTGGCATTGCTTCCAAGCCGAAGGGAGACCTCGCTACGAAACACATTAACCCAATTAGAGACGCGACAATGACGAATCACAGTTTCCAGAATGATATCCTTATCGACGAACAATGTGCCCGTGGTCGGTTGAACGTCGTCACGAGATTTCTTTGATCTCCGGGCCTGTTCCCAAGGCGATCGTTTTCTCCATGAATGGTCACCGTGCTTAAACGGCTAGTACGCCCGTTAAGTAAAGAGCAGCGAATCTTTCATCGTCAGTTCCTTTTCATTTCTTCGCTCCTTTAACTCCGGCGAGCTATTACCGCAACGTTTGCGCTCTGAAAATCGTTGAACGCGAAGGCGCGCTCCTAACTGATTCTCCGTGGCGATGTTAACAACGTCGCTCGACACGCGTTAATTCGCCGCGACGAGAAACTCTTGGCCGGCACGGCGGATGCGTCTCTGCGAGCTCTCGGGTCTTCGAGAATGCGCGGAAAAATAAAATAACGACACCCGGCATCGAGAGTATGCAAAAAGAGGCGGAGAGAGTGGCTATCGACGGATGCTAGCCATTCTTTCGTGGCGGCAGGAAATGAAAACCGGCTCTCTCTAAGGAGACTCGACAACGGTACACCGGCGAGCATATGGCGAACGGAGAAGCGATTTCCATGATACGCGACGATAATGCCGCGTGTCTACGTATACGCGAGATTGCGCGTACGCTCTATCGATTATAGTGCTTACGAAGAATTGCGCTGCTTCGGAGAACACGGTCGTTTCCTTCGCGGCAACGTATACCGAAAGTACGAACTTCGAACCAACGATATTCTTCACTTATTAACGACCTCTTTGTGTGGGAGCTTTCTCCTACACGATCTCCTAAACGGAAGCAGCCAAGAAGAAAGGAAAAAAGGAAGAGTAGGCCGCGGCGCATTTCCGACCGAAATGCACGAGGAACGTTAGCCTTTGTGTCTTGACTGGGACCACTATTATACCTCTTAAATTAATAAAGTAGCAGCTAATGGTCGTGGAGTAAACGTTCTCGTAATTCGTTCCTCCCTGAACATAGAGAACATAGTTCGTTTCTAAAACTTTTACGAAAAAGATAAATCTTTTAGACACGGGGAAAAAGATTGGAAAAAGAAAGCACTTGATTAACATGGGGGCTCCAAATCGTGCGTAGATATTCCAAGAATATTTCGGTGAAAGCAGCGCGCGACGAAACGTCCGAAATGTATAATGAACGTTCGACGAGCGAAGGAATACGTTGCCTTCCAGCGGAAAAAGGCGACTCCGGGAGCTGCGTACGAATATAGCGTGTAATAGACGGTGTTGATTCTCCTATACGGCACGTTCATTGCCGGAAACGGAAGCTCCACCTTAGTCGCTGACTACGACAACGTTTGTGTGAACGTACTACTCGAAGAATGTCGCGTACTGACGTACATACATACTTGAAAATCCGATCGTCTATCGAGCTTTGACGTACATATATATACTTACGTCGAGTCACGAACTGTTTCGATCTCACTTCGATTAATCGCGACAATCTGACAATTCCGAAGATAAGATTACTCGGATAGAAGATTTAGTTTAGCTGTTAATCGAAGCATTACGCGATCGTGTCGATGCGTTCAACCTTCCGACGAACGAGTTCAACGAAGCTCAAAATGAACCAATTAAAACGCGTCGACGGTGGCTCGAGTGAATCGAGTGTAAAAGGTATGTAGTCGGTTGCGTAGACACGTGCTATTCGAGGCGCCAATTAATGAAGATGTACGACGTGTATCTATGACACGATGCCAAATGGCACAGGTACATACTTCGGACACGTCCAAGCTTTCTTGGCCAATGAATGAACGCCCACGCATTTCGATGCCGCGCGAGGTCAACGACCAGATGAAATATCACGCGAATTGTAATTCGACGAAAATGCAATTGAGCACAAGGCCGCGTTGCCTGTCGCTGATTCGATGCCAGCAAGCTCTATCGCGCATCCGTTCTTCGTCGTCACTGTTAGATTTAGAAAGCTTTTCGCCGCGGATTCGCTTGACACTGGCCGATCGGCTCGACACGCGTTGGTTCGTCAGCGTCAACGTAGGTGGCCGATCCAAGAATGCATCTCCTGCTTTCTTTTATCCGCGATTCTTCACGGACGAAATTACTTTTTGCCAGCCTTTGCGCGACCATTCCCCTCCAAACGATTTCGTGTGCGACGCGATCACGAGAAGTTAAACAAGGTAGGTACACACACTGCACGTTTTCGAAAAACGATAACTGGACAAACCGTTAGAACGCGATACGTATCGTTATACACGAGTTTCGATCTAACGTACACACTCTGTCAAGATATCACGTAGATAAAGACAAATCATGTGTGCGTCGTGTAAAGACGTTAGAAATTCACCGAGCATTTTCTGCAAGCTCTTCATTGGCCATTTCAGGCACAAATATTTACTCGCGCCACGGTGAATCGAACACGATGTTATTTGTTCGAACTACTTTATCGCGTTACTTAATCGCGTTCAAAGCGACGCACCAACACCGTGTGTGTAAGAAAAATTATCCCCGGCACAAATCTATCGCCGCGTACTGTGCTCTCTCCGCCAACGAATTTTTCTTTGCATCGCATAATCGAAGGACGCGCGAACATGCAGGGCCTGACGAGCTGATTCGATCAGAAAGGAAATCAACGACGTAATTACTCATATCCCAATCACGGACGATCCAGAATCGTTCCATTGAATCGGGTCATAAATTACGAATCAGTCCGAGCGGAGGACATTCGTGACTTCAAAGCACCAACGACCGCTAAATATTATATTATTCGACGCCGGTTCCGGCGACCTTAAACACACGG